ACACAAGAAGTGGAATCCTTCACTGCGCACATTAACGCTGTGGATAAAAACATCAAGTTCACCAGGGAAGACACAAAGGACAACTGTTTGCCTTTCCTGGACTGCGCCGTGCACATTGAAGAGAATGGCAACCTCAACATTGAAGTTTACCGGAAGCCCACACACACGGACCAGTACCTCCTCTTTGACTCCCATCACCCTCTGGAACACAAACTTGGAGTAATTAGGACCCTACACCACCGGGCAGAACATGTTCCCTCTATTCTTGATTTTGACCCAGGTGTCGCCTACATATCTGTACCAGTGGCTGGGTACTCTTCCTTTGAAAGAGCCAAGAGCCTTCCTTTCCACTTCCTCCATGTAAAGGTTGGCTACAATAGGTGACACGGGGGAGCCCATGGACATATTTCAAATATGTCTCACCACTACATATTTCAAATACAACGAGGGTTTCTACAGACAAAAACATGGCTGCGCCATGGGCTTAAATCTTAATTATCTCAGAAGCTGTTCACATCCACAAATATTTATTACCCAATGAAAACACTGAGCAGGATGGGTTTTCCTTGTTAACAGAATCATAACAAGAGACTGGAATAGTCCCAGGTAACTGGAGCAGACATGGTCTTATATTTAGCAAGCCAGAGTACAAAAAACAACGTAAAACTAACGTGGAAGCAAAAAATTATGCTTCTTTGAATGAATGCACCTCAGAAACCTGTCATTTAAAACAAACATTGCTTAAGGATTAAATGCACTTAATGAAATCTTCTGATCTTTAGAGAATCTGACATGTTTGTTTTCTTACTGACAGTTAAGGCCAATGTCATCCCATTCCTGTAATTATGGAAAATATTACCAACAGCTTGAAAATTTATTTCAATCAATTTAATTCATTTCGGTCGACCTCCTATGAGCAAGCACTCAGTGATGGTGGGAAGAAAAAACTCCCTTTTTAACAGGAAGAAAACTGGCAGAACCAGGCTCAGGGAGGGGTGACCATGTAATGTCACATGTAACATCCCAGAGAGGGAAATGTCCCTATCAGATTTTAGCACTGACTGAAATGTTAAAGGTTTTTGCATTTCTGTTAACTAACAAACAATGAGTTGATGGGTATGTATGAGACGACAGAACTCGATTACCTCGATCATTGTTGCACTCTGCTTCAAAGCTGCTTCACTAACCTGACTTCATATTAAAATACATTTAAAATCCACAACCTTACTCTGGGTAAACTTGTTTTATTCAATAGAATCTATGTTTCCTCAGCATGTTTTGGAATCGAAAACATATTTTTGGGTGCCTCAAGGTTCCATCCTAAGCACCATCTAAGATGTCTGTGTCCTCCTTTGTGAAGCATTAATGTTACTTCAGAAATCTTGGTGTTACCAACAAAATCATCTGCATCGTAACGTGTTTTGTGACAGAAAGCTGGTTTCTGGTGGCTCAGCGCTCGGTCCGTGTCACCATCAAACATCCTATGTCCTCTTTCATATAACAAAAACTGTGTTGTTTTATAATGCAAGGTAATTATTTGTGTTACTTTTTAATAGTTTGATAGAAGGAAGCAGATTGTATAGATTTGATAGTGAATTTTTGCTTTGATAGTGAATGGACCAGCATGCACATGTGATCATTTGTCATTCTTAAAGACACTGGAGGCCAATATTTGTCGATTTCTTTTTTGCCTAACAAGTTTAACAGAAACCAATAAATCAGGAGCGAAGAAAAGGGAAGCTCTACCTTTCTTTTGCAGTATAGCGCTACCGCTGCGCCTCCCTATGTGGTTCTCCACGTAACAGGTATAGTTGGCCAAATCTCCGTCCTCCACGGCATCAAATGTTAGGGACAGCTGCACTTCCTTCTCTCCTAAATGCTCCCTCACCACCCTGGAAAAGAAACATGCAAGAAGTGGATTCACAAAGCAGTGATATTAAATCTTTTATTGTGATTTACTGTAATACACTCAAGACTTTAACTTGGAATTTCTACTTGTGCAAATTGCATCAGGAGGGAAGTAAACACATGTAAATTTTAAAGATGAGAGAATCTCCTTGCCTCTTAATCTGTTCCATTAAAGATGAAGAAGCACAAGGAACATGGCGCTATAGAGCACAGTATATAGGGCAGATTTTAAAAGAAAGAGAGAGCGAAAAGAAAAGAAATGAGGGCAGAAGAAGCAAGGAGCCATGTCTGGAAAACACTGGCGACAGCTGGAAAAAGCTCTCTCCTTATGGTGAGGTCATACTCCTTTTAAGCCTGTGAGGCTGTGAGGAAGAGGGGCTGGAGGAGACTGAACTGATGTCAGGGTCACAGAGTGCACCTTTAAACCTGGTGAGGTTCAGCCATAACCAGTGAGATCTTAGCTCAGGTGGCAGATTCAGAGCAGTGGCACAGATGGTTCAGCCACATAGGCTGGGTACATTTGAACATTTATTTAATAAAAGCTAGTTTCATGTAATTGACACCGTTATGCATTTATTGCATTTATTTATTCTATTCATTTCTGTTCACAGCTGTTGTATGTTATTGCGGGTATGCCTGTCTTTTAATTCCAAGACATTATGACCTTTACAGTGACAATTGTGGTAGAGTTAGCTCACTAAGAAGAACTGGCTGGCTGATATCTGTTTAATGTTTCTGCTGGAGTCGTTGGAAAAGACGGGAAAGAGGGTGAAAGGAGAAGGTGCAAATCAAAAAGTCAGCATCCTCAAAAATTTGAAGCAGAAGCTTTTATTCGAGTCACCACTAAATTCAGAGTGAGGAATCTAGCGATTCATTAGCTAGCTAATGTTGTTATGTGGAAAACCCCCAAAACAACATGTAGCTAACGACTGCTTATTCTTGGACTTGAAAGCAGAAAACTAATTATCCTGGCTTACTCACATTAATGGCTGACATCAAATAAACATGTTGTGCATAAATAGCTTATCATATTTTGGAAAGTCAATACAAGAAAACAAAGCAAAAACAAACAAACAAACAAACAAAAACCCTTCCAGATGCTTTGGCGTCCATGTGCACTTCTTCACCTCTTGATGTAGAAAAACCCAAAGCTTGATTGTCCAGTTGTGAAATCATAGACCCTAGAAAACTGTGGAAGCTGTGATTGAACAATTACTGTATGAATGAGGATTTTATCAAACTGACATTTTTACGTGCCCCAGCAGATCTATTAACGAAATCTTTCAGCGGTTCAGGAGGAAGATAATTATGTAACAAACATGCTGTGAACTGAACCCTCAGTCAGCTTTTAATACTTGAGTAATTGAACCTCAGAGCAAATTATCTGGGACTGGGACAGCACCAGAAGTGTTAAGTCGCACCTAAACAAGCTTTCAAAGTTTCACATGGGTAATGACACCAGAAGTCTTTAAAAAGTCATTATTTTTACATTAAGCTGTGATCACAGTCCAGGAACATCTTCACTATGTGGTGAGTTATACTTCATGAGTGTTATGAGCTCTTTTATATGAAAAATAAAGACAATACAACGTTAAGTGTAGAAAACAAATTTTACCGCAATGCAGCATCAGATTACTTACAAAAATGAAAAATAAATTAAAAGTAATATTGTTGATGTTTAGCCTGTCTTGGTTTAGTTGCAGGTTGGGGTGGATTGGTTTGGATTTCTAGTAATTGGTTCAACCACACAAGCAGGCAGCAGGATTTTGGAAATAATGAGCGTTTTCAGTGCAGAATCAGCACTCTTGTCAGAAACAGGCGAGATGGTCCACAGGATTTTGTTATCCTTCTTCTGTACAGTATGTGCTGCATTGACTCAGCGTACAGTACAGTAATCCAGACTGGCCACATTGTAATACACACAGGGGTTGAACCACATGGGAGTTGGCACAGTCCAACCATGACAAGCAGCGATGAGACACTGTGTAGTCATTTTCCTGCAGCTCTGTTTGTAATTCACCACAGAAATGCGCTGTATCTGTCACTTGAGGCTTGTATCCAAGTGGCTGCATGCAAAGAAAATTGACACGCAAACTTTCAGCACAGGCATTCCCATTGGGAATTGAACTTCTAACCTCCTAAATATTCATGCTTTCCTCTTCCCTCGTGGCACCAGAGGCACAGAAAGAGCAGTGAAGTCTCAATGCAGGTTAATAATGATGGATAACATTACAGAAAGGGTTATGAGACTCAAAATGTCAAATGTGCCGGAAGACATACAGCAAAATGACTACCACCATCTCTGCATGTACGTCTTTTTTTTCCTTGCTCCGTGTCAGAGATTTTCAGTGTGTGCATCACTTTGAAGTCTCCTAGGACAGTGCATCAGGGGTTGCTGTCAAAAGATGAGACTTGCTAAAATGCTTAGTTTAAAACACATCACTCCTCTCCCTTTTTCTCACCTTCTAGCCATTAGCTATCTATATCCTACATCTCCTTTCCTTCTCCTCTTTCTGTCCTCTGGTGATTAAATGGGTACATTTCAAAATAAAAGTCACTGTTAAAAGCACAAGTTTTTCTCCTCATAATCTGCACATCTTGGTGAAAGTGACACCATCAGCCAAAGTATCCTTCCTCCCTGAGTTCAGCTACATGTATGTGCTAAGCTGTATCTCAAAGGTCAGCACTGTGTGCATGCTCATCATTTGTATCATCTTTGCCTCCACTTGTGTTGCTGTTCTGATGATATCAAGGCCTACATCTCTTGTTGTGGCTTTCCAATCACCCACAGCCAGTCCCAGCAGATGGCTTCCCCTCCCCAGGTCTCTTCTTGCTGAAAGGGAGTTGTTCCTCCCTGCCAATGTGAAGTGTTTGCTCATGGGGGTGGTTGTCTGATCAGCTGGGTTCCCTCTCAAATATAAAGTGCCTTGAGATGACTGCTGTTGTGGATGTGACCACACAGCTCACTTCAACCAAATGAACTGACTCACCAAATGGAATCAGGCCAAGTTTGCTTAACTGAACTTAGATCTAAGAAGGTCATCGTCGCTGGTCCCAAAAGTCGAACAAAAATCACACACTGTGCTCTTCTATCATATCTATCATCTCTGCTCTTCTCTTTCTCCGCTCATGTCTGAAGGCTTTGATGGATGTGCAACTTTGATTTGAAAATAAAACACAACAACTGCACTTTTCTTTAAACAATAAATCAGTCTTTGTTATTGAAACTGATACCTTAGATACACCCAGACCCAACTACAGTAGTATATATATATATATGTGTTTTTTAGTAGTTTTTTTAGCATTTTCTTTGACACAGATACTGAGGACAGCCAGAAGGATAGATGGGTGGGATGACATGCAGCAAAGGGCCTAGGGCAGAATTGAATCCAGGTAGCTGCAAGAAGGAATAAGCCCAGAGTAGAAGGTCTCACAGCTTATAAATCAAGAAATCAAGTCAGCTATGGAATATTATTGATAGCAGATCCACCAGAGGAATGGGCTGGCAATATTTGACAGTCTGTTTGTGGCCTTATCCTATTTTTCCACTATCCCAAAAGTCTGGTACTACTCTCCTCCTCAAACAGATTCCCAGGTTTCCAATCCTACAACTCTTCACTTCATGTCAACAGTGCTCTTCTCCTCCTTCTGTACCTCCCTGAACTTCTCCACTGGAGTGTAGCGATAACACAGGTCAGACCTCTGAAGGTACCCTGTTGTACAGTATGTAGTAGCAAGATGTTTGCAGTACATCATTCAGTCTTCTAAGCTGCGAGCTGGACCCATCGTGGATCAAACAACTCGTTTCTGTATTATTGATGCTTTGTCTCCTCAGGCCGTTGTACTTGTCACTGCCGACAGGAAGAATAAAATAAACCTTTCTGTTTCAAGGTGTTCCCAATTGCAATGCAGACCTCAACTTTTTAACATAAAAACCCTGCTTCCCTCCTACTTTAGCACCTAGAACGGGCTAACTACCATGCTTCATGACAAAGAAAATATAAGGTAAAATAATGGTTGATGATGAGGTTGTGAACAGTGAAGCAGTGAGGCTTTGACAGCAGTTGGACTGGACAACAGATGTGAATTTCAAGCAGGTAAAAAAAGGCCTCTCTGCATCAGTAGACATATGGGCTGCCTTCAAGTGAAAATATGAAGCAAGCACTGGCCCAAGTGGAAATACTGTAATTACCAATTCATTGCACATGAACGAGCTGCGGACTGTGATAGCTGAGTTGCAGAAACGTGAAGAAGCTGGACAGCGGTGAAGCTGAGCTCAGCCAACAGCTGGAGTAAAACTGATGATACTGCTCATATATATTGTCTCGCCTGCTATTTTAACCCAACATACTTAAACTACTTAGACTATGGATTTACATTTTCCAGAAAAAGAAGTAAGGTTTCACAAAGAGAGGCACTTGTTGGCAGGAGTTTTTTCTCCACAAACTCGCAGCTTTATCACATCCTCTTGGGTGCTGCAGGGTGTGAGTGTGTCAGTAAGAGAGCAAGCCTTGGTAATTACAGGTATTCCCATTATCACAGAGGCTACGAGACTGTGTTTGACACTATGCAAACAGACATAGACAAAGTTCTCGGGCCAGTGCTGCAGGACGTGGGGAAGGGAGCTTAATGTGGACAGATTAATGGGCATCACAGCGGGAGTCGACCTGCTGGAGTGCGATTGTGGAACTTGGAATAGCAGTATGATTGGATCAGAGGTGGCCAGAGGACTGGACTGAAAGATTGAGAACTCATCAGGCAAAGGTTAATTTAATACTATGGGGCATGATTAGTTTCAAGTTTAAACACTCCTACTCATGTACCATGCTGCTCTCTACAACATCATTTTCCCGGGAGAGAACATTTTCAGAGGGCAGGAGGTGGATTAGCAGTCGCAGATACATTCTTGAGGTTCCAGTCTTGGATTGGTAAACAGCTCTGCTGCTGGAGTGTCCTCCAGCAAGACACTGAAGGTCACATGGCTTCAGAGCCACTGTTGCTATGCTGACTCTGACCTGTGACCTCCCCCATGAAGGGAGGAGGGCAAGAGGATTTCCCTTTAGGGGAGATAAACATTCATATCAGTATTGCTGTGCTCGGCTGATAACATGATCTGTGAAGGCTCTTTGAGCAGAAGTGAGCATTTTACTTTCTAATATTAAAGCTTTGATTACAGCTCTTAGTGTGTCAGTTAAACACACTAATGCCCACATGCTGCAGTTTGAACATTTAGATTACATTACTACGTTGCACTTTTTCTTTAACGTGATGGTGCAGAAGTATTGCTCGAAAGGGAGCAGCATTAACCTGAATAGGGGAAAAACAGTGACACACACAGTGTAGATGATACATTAATCCTTGCCAGAATCTTAACTGAGTTTAAGTAGTGCGCTTAAAGAAAACCAAACAGGCTTTTGCTTCTCATACGACTGCTTATTATGTCTAAAATTAATAAGCTGATGTGATAATCTAAAGAGGCCATGATTGGCCAGGTCACAGTGCAGGATGAAAACCAAACCAAATATTTGTCAGTTTAAATCATTTTAAAGATATAATGAAGGGAGAAGCAAAACTACAGACCACCACAGCCCCACCTGTGTGAACTGAATGAAACTTTTGTCCATCTCAAATCACCACATGCACTCTGCCTGATCATCAAGAATACTCCTGCAAAGGCTCGGGTTTGAGTCCAACCCGTCACCCTTTGCTGTGTGTCTCCCCGCTTCTCCTTGCTTTCCTGTCTCTCCTGACTTTCACTATCCAATAAAGCCAAAAAATATTATTAAACACAAAAATTAAAATTTCAGCACATTGTCCTCTTCGAATAAAATGAAATTCCAGATGGTACCCAAAAATATAACTCTGAAAAGAATTTTGTTAATTATTTTCATATTTTTCATTTCCAGGACCTGTGAGTTACAGCACCATCGTGAAAATCCAGCTTTCTTTTTGTATTACTGTAAAATTCAACAACACACCATTCAGAAATTGTTACTGGTTGTCTTTTGCAATGTAAAGTTTCTTTGTCAGTGTGTGATTTTTTTTTAAATTTAAAATTTTCAGACCATTTGAAATATATCTGGTCCACATTAAAGATCCTGATTTATTTTGATGTTAAGAAAGACCGGTGCAAACTTCAGGCTTTTATCTTTAATAGTCTTTGACATATTCATGTTCAAATGTTGACTCATATTTCAGTGCGTGGTAGTGGGCCGATGGACTATTTTTCAAAAAAGTGTATCTTAAAAACTATTTGATATATGAAGCTAAAACTTCTCAGCACTCAATATATATGTTCAAACTTTGGACCTTCAGATTGGAGTTGGCACGATGTGCGGTTGGAATGACCCATGGACTAAATGTTTTGCTCAGTTAAAACACAGGTGCTGAATTTGCAACAGCAGTCAGTAGCATTTAGTGCTCATCTACTAAACATTGAACCCCATCGGACCTAAACTTTGCAGTTACGTCTCCAACATGAACTCAGGTAGTAGCACATTATTTAGCTTGACTACTGTTGCTTAGAGGAGATGATGCAGCTGTAGCTATAACTGAAGTAGCTAAATCCATACACAAATTAAATATTATGATTCATGAGTCTGCAGCACTCATGCACATGAGTATTAACAGGTGAGTTAAGAGTCAGGCTGGATTTGTCTGGTCTAATCCTGCCTACCTTATCCCATCTTACTTTCAAAGACCACTTCCAGAGCCTTTCACGGGCTCATTTATTTACAGAAAAGATGACCACCATGCTGCAGGCTGTTTGAAATACATTGCTGTCTTAGATGCGCTGGGAAAGTCTGTCTGAACTTCTTGTGATCTCCACTAAGATTTGAAGTGACTTTCTAGCTCCTTCGCTTTGCAGAGTGAAAAAGGGCAAATGCTTTGAAATGAGGCGAGTTATATGAGATCACCCACTGAAAAAGAAAAAACAAAGAAAAGCAGTGTGGTGTTTTATAGCACTCTAAATTTCAGGTATACTCAATAGATATCTGTGGTTGTCCTGGTCCCGCCCCTAAAGATCTAATCAGTAGCTGTAACTGTAACAGATTAACAAATCAAGTATTCGCACTGATGCGTGTGCATACTTCAGGTCCTGACTGTTTCAGGTGTGTGACATCAGGCGTATTGCTCTACTTGTTATCTCAGTAAGTATAAAAACCAAAAATCTATGTTGGATAACTGTGATCATTTGTTCTCTGTGCTCTGGTGGGATATACTTGAAATATGAAGCCATATTAATGTATACAAATACAACATACAGGGAAAAAAGATTTTAAGCAAAGTCAGCAAACTTTACCTGAATTAAGCTAAAACATTTTGCCCTGTACTGTGCACATGCGCTGCAACGTGATTGGCTAATATGTCTCCGGTTTCAGTTGTTGATTGGTTCTTTTGGGACAGGTTTAGGACTCACAGACTTGAGGACTGTTTCAGTGCAACACGCAGGGGTGTAGCAAGTCAAGTCTCTACCTCATTTTACACCTTTTGCATTGACCCACTGGAGAAAGCAACAAGACTGCCATCATTCCCGCCTCCCGACTGAACAACGGAGATTAATTAAATAACATTTTTTGCTTTCAACTTCATCTTTTATAGATTTTGATGATAAACTGTTTTATGTGTAATTAATAGATGTTAGACATAGTTCTCTTAACTCACATTGACTGTATGTGTGTGTGTGTGTGTGTGTGCACATGTGTGAGACAATGTAAATTCTCTGATGGTTACCATAGCGATCCAGCAGGTTGTTCTAATGATATTTGATGCCCCGCAGACAATCAGGCTTTTCCCAATAGACTCCAATGTAATTGGTCCCAATAGGGGAGAAAATGAATTCAATTTAACTTTATTATTAGAATTCATAATTTTTTTTTTTTAGAAAAGTTGAGAAGAAAGCTGTCAGAAAACCCTCAATGAGTCATAAATCACGAGAGACCAAATTAGATCCTGACAGTGTGAGGAGAGCAGCTGGAGTCGAGCCTATTCAGAAATTAATTAACAATAGAAACCTGTAAACTTGAGAGAATGTAATTGATACTGTCTTGCAGTAGATGTACTTAGAATTTACTTGCCCCCCACCCTCAGGACACTGATTTCAGGATCATTTTGAGTATGTTACTGAATCAGTGCTTCTCTAGAAAATGGTTTACTTACTTCATTTCAGTTTCCTTAATATGCCCTGCAAGTTCTTCAACAAATTTTTCTCCTTTCATCCAGTAGATGATGGGCTTTCTGTTTTCTCCACTGTAGCCAAAAAATGCCTTGCAGTCCAGACTGAGAGGCATACCTGCAACACACAGCACAGCAATGTTAGACGCCACACGGTGCCACACGGAGGATGAATTTGCACTGTTTTGCAGCTGAATCTTTAAACCAGCTGCAGTCCAGGCTGAAGGTAAAACACACATTAAAGATGACACCACACTGAAAGTTGAGCACAGAAGGAGTCATTAAACAAATCTGGCACATTTTGGTTTATATCCTTTCTCATTTCTCCAAAGAGGTGTCCGGATGATAGGGAGCCACAGGGAGCCAGTGCAGAAAACTACTCGATGTGTGTAGCTGGGTGCCTGCAGGGTCCCTTTGAAATGAGAACCTGAAATAATTGCTGCCTCCTCCTGGTGACAGTAATATCACTTTAAAGAGAAGTGTGCAAACACATTTCTGAAATCATGAGAGGAAACAAAATCACACTAGGTAAAATACTGCTGTGTATCATAAGCTGCAGCACTGCCAACCTTTCACCTGAGCAAATGAGTCTGTGGCAACAGGTGGCATACACAGGAAATGTAGTGTTAGTGAGGCAAACACGTGTCAGCACCAGTGGATTTCTTTTTAACTTACATGGTAAATATATGATTTTCCTAAGGATCTACAAATCTACTTCATAAGATCCTCCTGTACGGTCCCCTTGATTTTGCTAGCCCCAAAATATGAATGCAGGGTCCAAGACCTGGACCTTCAAGTGCTTATTTCCTGAAGTCAAAGGAAAAGCTGTGTACTTAGTTTGTGGAGAGCAGATTGGTATGTTTAAGGGTTAAAATTTGAATCATCATTATGAAACTATACACAGAGAGAAATACGAGAAACTGACTGATGCAAAGTGGGATTGGACATCAGAACCTTTGCTAGCAAAGCTCCAAAAGCAATGAGGACTGTTTTCAAGCTTTACAAATTCAGGGATGATTTTCCTCCAAATCACAAAAACTGTGAAATTTTCTGTGATAGTGAGTAAGAAAGAATGTCGATGGACTCCTAATATGACCTGAGAAAAAAGAAGAATGTGCTTGAACTGTAAAACAGTCACTTTTCAAATGAATCTGGAGCTTTTGTTGAAAAGCAAAGTGAACAGTTTTCTTTTTCTCAGCAGCTCTGGAGGAGAGCGATGTGACACAGACCACTACATACCTGGCAGCTCTGTACTCAATGAAAGGGGCTGTTACAAGAAGTTATTTGTTTATAGAGCTAACTGCATGCTTGGACAAGTTTTCTGACAAACTTGAACAGTTCACTGGATTTCAAGTGACTCAATTTGACTCTCAGACACAATTGTGTTTGTTTATGTAATTACTGTAAAAAACAACAACTATTGTTTATATTCACATTATGTGGCAGCACACCTCTTAACCGGCACTAGAAGGCATGAGCACATCACCCCTGTCCTCGCTAACTTATCCCATCAAATATCGCATTGATTAATCGCATTGATTAATCGCATTGATTAATCGCATTGATAACTTCATCATTTCAGGTTTATAGCGCCATGATATTAAAGTTTAAATTAGCCACACATTTACTGACAGAACAGAAAATGTTTCGAGTCGATTCATATTCACTAATATGCCGCTTGTGGCAGATGGCCCCCCCTCCCTGAGCCTCTGGTTTTCCTGTTAAAAGCGTGTTTTTCCGTCCCACTTTCACAGAGGGCTTGCTCAGAGGAGGCTGTCTGATTGTTGGGGTTTTCTCTGTATTGTATGATGAGGTGACGGTGATTTGGAGCTATATAAATAAAACCGAATTGTGACTGAAGTGCAAATTTTCAGCTTTAATTCAAGGGGTTTAACAAAAGTATTTCATTAAATTCAGTTGCATAGTGTACTTGCAGCTTAATTAGTTTGAGCCATGAAGCTTTGATTCTGCAGAGCTCCATATTCAACAGATGTGTACCTTTAATGTATTACTACTGGAAGAATCAATCAGCAATACTATGAAATCACATGTAAATACACATCTATGGGCAGACAGTATCCACACACACTCATGTAAGACCTTGAAACCCCCATCACTCTATGATTACAGCTATCAGTGGTGATGATGGAGTATTAATGAGCATTCTAATGAGCGCTACCTCGTTAGGCAGTCAATTAGCAGATAATTATGATAGACCTTGGTATTATCATAATGATAGCTCTGTCAGCACAGTCATGAACCAACAGTGAATGTTAACATTCGGTCTATGTCTGTGTGTTTGTTGTCAGTTTTGACTTAAAGTTAACACTTAAGGTGTTGTTTTTTCATGCGTGGGAAAAGCAGCTTCTTCCTTTCAAGCTTTGGGGGGTAATTATCTTTTTCAGAAGAAATTAAAAACATTTAGAGCAGCAAAAGTAAAAATCTTCACAAACTGGTTACAGGTTGAATAAACATGAGGTTTCCTTCAGTTGGTCAATGCCAAAACGCAACTGTTTTCATATGGAAATGTCTTTATGTTTGGTGTCACTGCGCTGCTTATTTTGATTGATGGAAAAGGACGAGGGGGCTTTGACTTCTGCCAGTCTCGAAATTAGAATTTCTAACAAACTCAGAGAAAAAGTGCCCACTGAAGCCTCACATGTCTTGTGTGTGTGTGTGTGTGTGTGTGTTGGTGGGCTTGCGTGGGATTTTTCTTTTTTTTACCTTTGAGCCTAGTCAGACATCATCCTGCAGTACAGGCGTATAAATACACACACACTTTAGAAATCAGTTAAAAAAGAAAAAAAATCTGGCTTGGAGTGAAATTAGTTTAGCTTGATTGTGTGTGTGTGTGTGTTTGTGTGAGTAAGTAGGTGTGTGTATTTGAGCTCTGCAGTAATTGATTAGCACCCTGAGGGTGTGTTTGTGTTCTCAGCATGCTATGGTGATTAAAATCATCAACTTTGTTTGCACTTGTGTGGCGTGAGGGTGTGTGTCAGTGTGGGCGAGTGACTTTGTGTGTGCGTATCTCTCCAGTAAATAGAAACGCAGCCTGCATTTAATACAGCTGAGTCGAGTCATTGTTCCTATTTGTGGCTGTAGCGGCAGGATATTTGTGAGAAGCTGAGGAAAAATGAGGGCTGGTGCTGTATTGTTGTCATTAATAAGAAAGACTGACAGGAATTTTCTCAAGTTGGTGCATCACTGTTTCACACTGCTCCTCTGTGTGATCACAACTATGTTCTGTTTTCTTTGGTGTGACAAACAGAGGAAGGACTCACTCTCCCCGATCACAAGTGAGTTTGCAAACAGAAGTCATGTGACCACAAAGTCAAATTCAATCTGATTCCACCTCTTTGTATCGTTATTGTAGCCCGACAGCCTTGTCTGTACTCCTCAGTGTAGCGTCGCTGGTATTTAGAGATGCACATAAAGAAGCAGCTGAATATGAGAATCGGTCCAGACTTTGCTTTGTCCTTGGTTTAGTTTTTTAAATTCATTTTTTATCCAAGCAAAAGGAGCTGCTGGTATCAGACATCGACATCTGTTTCCTTCGGCCCGTCTTGTGCGTTTTGAGGTCCTTTCCTGTCAAAGGCTCGTGCTGCATTCTAACAGTGAAAAGTTCTCATTGCTGTTCATTTATTACACTGGGTTTATTCATTTCAGATACATCTAAAGAAATGAACAAATTAATTTAATCTTGAACTGAAGGAAACCACTCTGAATTTGAAGGTTGTGGGAATGCACTTAGCATCCATGTGTGAAGTAAGCAGCACTGTAAACTGCTATCGAAGTGCAGGTTAATGAGTGTCCACAGTAAACTGTAGGCAACACAGAGAACTTTCACAAACTCAGAGGTGTTAATGCAAAACCTGGATTTTGTCCTGGGGGTTCACGCAGTGAGCAGTGCCGTTGTCCTTCGCAGTTTAGAGCACTTTGTTGCCTTTCACAGTTTCAGTTTCAGATCCACATAATTTTGTTTTAGATCACTAAAACTACCAAAGCAGACAAATGTTTCTAGCAACACAAGCTATTAAAAATTTGCAAACAAGATGTGTAACTGTTGAACCTTAGTGTACAGCCTGTGTGGACAAATTTGTATGCCAACCTCCTTGCAACTAGTAAACATCAACGGTTCCTCCGTGATTGCATTGATTTATTTTTCTGTCCAAGACCCATTGCAAGTAGTTGACCAATCGCTGACGGACCTCTTTCAAAGGCAGATGCACAAGTTGCTTGGTGGGAGGCAATCTGCCTGCAAACACTTGCACTGTGACTCAGACTGATTGCAGTCACTCTTAGCCAGATTGGTGAGAGTTTGCAAATAATTACCAACTAATTTATGAATGCTGACAGATTGCTAACACATTGTAATCAATGAAAGTCAGGTTGCACCAATCAGGACAACTCATCTGCTTTGTGTCAATATGCAACAAACGGCTCGACTCAGGTGGTTGTCAACTGGTTGTATTCTAGTTACATCGAGTGGACGAACTTTCAGTTTCAAATCTATGAGATTCTCGCTGAACTCTGAAAGTGAGAAGTTAATGTGAATCTCTGTGCATGTAAATGGCAACAGATTTGTTAATCACTAACCGACAGCAGACTGAATCTGTTTTGTTGCCGTTTTATTGCCTCCTCGATGCACCAAAGCTGTTCCGAAGACGGCAAGTGACTGCAGATTGGCTTTGCCAAAACATTAAACAGGCCGTCCACACTTAAACCCCTCAGTGTGGATGATGACAATCTGTCTTTAAAAAGAAAGAATTTTGCATTTACTCAGGATATCTTTGTCTAAAACCAGGTAGCAGTGGTGATGTAGTGATATAACCCCAAAGGAGGTTTGCATCTCCTGCGGGAATTGAACTAGCGGGCTTTGGCTTGTCAAGTAAATGAGCAAACCACTACACATAGGCACATAGTGGCATGCAATATTACATTTAATATGAATCTTACTGTTACCGAAATATTTGGTGGATGTACAAATCAGCTCTTGTTTGTTTTAAGTTGACATTTAAAATCGGTCTCAAATGAACAGCAGAGTCACTGAACACCCGCCGGTTCTGAATTATGTCATTTGTTTTGACAGCAATATCCCAAATTCCAGGATGAACTGAA